AACCTTTTTAACTTGTATGCAGAACACATCATGCGAGGATGTGCGGGGCTGGATGAATGCAAAGCTGGGGTGAAAATTGCTGGAAGAAACATTAACATCCTCAGATATGCAGATGACACCACTCTGATGGCCGAAAGCGAGGAGGAGCTGAGGAGCCTTCTAATCAAGGTGAAAGAAGCTGGGTTGCAGCTAAACATCAAAAAAACCAAGATCATGGCAACAAGAATGATTGACAACTGGAAAATAGAGGGAGAAACCGTGGAGGCCGTGACAGACTTTGTATTTCTAGGTGCAAAGATTACTGCAGATGCAGACTGTGGCCAGGAAATCAGAAGACGCTTACTTCTTGGGAGGAGAGCAATGTCCAGTCTCGATAAAATAGTAAAGAGTAGAGACATCAGACTGGCAACAAAGATCCGCCTAGTCAAAGCCATGGTCTTTCCTGTAGTCACCTACGGATGTGAGAGCTGGACCTTAGGGAAGGCTGAGCGAAGGAAGATCGATGCTTTTGAGCTGTGGTGTTGGAGGAAAGTTCTGAGAGTGCCTTGGACTGCGAGAAGATCCAACCAGTCCATCCTCCAGGAAATAAAGCCGACTGCTCACTGGAGGGAAAGATACTAGAGACAAAGTTGAAGTACTTTTGCCACATCATGAGGAGACAGGAAAGCCTAGAGAAGACAATTATGCTGGGGAAAGTGGAAGGCAAAAGGAAGAGGGGCCGACCAAGGGCAAGATGGATGGATGGCATCCTTGAAGTGACTGGACTGACCTTGAGGGAGCTGGGGGTGGTAACGGCCGACAGGGAGCTCTGGCGTAGGCTGGTCCATGAGGTCACGAAGAGTCGGAGGCGACTGAACGAATGAACAACAACATTGTGGTTGTTATTGCTTGTATCGATGTATTGTGGGCTCGGCCTCATGTAAGCCGCACCGAGTCCCTTGGGAGATGGTAGCAGGGTATAAATAAAGATTATTATTATTATTATTACATGCTGATTGGTATTTATGTATTTTAATTAATTTTCAATTATTTAATGTTTTTAACTTTATTTATTTATTTAGCACTCCTATGTTTAATTCTATTTCAGTGTTTATGTATTTTCAAATTTTTGTTTTATATTTTTGTTTTTTTTTATATTTTAACATTGTTAAAAGGTGGTATAATATATATATATATATGGAGCCCCTGGTGGCGCAATGGGTTAAACCGCTGAGCTGCCAAACTTGCTGACCAAAAGGTCAGTGGTTTGAATCTGGGGAGCAGGGTGAGCTACTGCTATTAGCCCCAGCTCGTGCCAACCTAGCAGTTTGAAAACATGGAAATGTGAGTAGATCAATAGGTACAGTTTTGGCAGTAATGTAATGGCACTCCATGCAGTCATGCCCATGGCCACATGTCCTTGGAGATGTCTGCGGACAACGCCGGTTCTTCAGCTTAGACATGGAAATGAGTGGTGGTTGCCAGAGTTGGACACAACTAGACTTAATGTCAAGGGGAAAGCCTTTACTAGATAGATGGATGGATGGACGGACGGACTGATAGACAGACTGTTGTTCATTCGTTCAGTCTCTTCCAACTCTTGGTGACCTCCTGGACCATTCCAGGCCAGAGCTCCCTGTCGGCCGTGGCCACCCGCAGCTCCTTCAAGGTCAAGCCAGTCCCTTCAGGGATACCATCCATCCATCTTGCCCTTGGTCGACCCCTCTTCCTTTTTCCTTCCATTTTCCCCAGCATCATTGTCTTCTCTAGGTGACTTCATGGACCACCCCATGCCAGAGCTCCTTGTCGGCCGTGGCCACCCACAGCTCCTTCAAGGTCAAGCCAGTCCCTTCAAGGATACCGTCCATCCATCTTGCCCTTGGTCGGCCCCTCTTCCTTTTTCCTTCCATTTATATATAAATGCAATATTTATTGATTCAATGCCATAGACCACGGTATCCTTCTGGGCCGCCTCGCGAGGATGGGTCTTGTTCTGTAGTGACTCCGGTCCTTCCTGGTGGGTCATTCCCAGAAAGTGTGATACTGGGGGGCACCTGCTCGGCCCTGTAGATGTTGCTTTGTGGGGTCTTGCAAGGCTCAGTATTGTCCCCCATTCTGTTTAATATCTGCACGAAGCCGTTGGGAGAGATCATCCTGCATTTTGGAGTTCAGTCCCATCTGTACGCAGATGACGTCCAACTCTACTACTCATTTCCACCTGCTGCTAAGGAGGCTGACCAGGTCCTGAACCGGTGCTCGGCAGCTGCGACGGTCTGGATGAGGGCAAACAAATTGAAATTGAATCCCGACAAGATGGAGGTCCTCCTGGTCAGTCGAAAGGCCAAACAGGGCATAGGGTTACAGCCAGTGTTGGATGGGGTTACACTCCCTCTGAAGGTGTAGGTTGGCAATTTGGGAGTGAACCTGGATTCATAGCTGAGCCTGGAACACCAGGTCTTGGTGGTGGCCAGGGGTGCTTTTGCGCAATTAAAACTCATACCTTGGGAAGCCGGTGCTCCACACTCTTGTTTACATCCCGAATAGACTATTTTATTATTTATTTATTAATGCGCTTGTATACCGCTAATATCTCAGCCTAAATCGGCGACTCATTGCGGTTTACAACAATTAAAAAACAATATTCAATTTAAAAGCATAAAACACATATACAATACAAGTTATTGGGCCACCAATAACAATCCCATGCATCTCGTAACTGAAATCGCAATCCAAAATTCGTCGTCCATGATTACCCATCCTTTAGTCATCAAAATTCGTTGCAACGGATTAACCGAATGCTTGTTTAAACATCCATGTCTTCAATCTTTTCCGAAACACCATCAGCGAAGGGGCTGATCGTACCTCTATGGGGAGGGTGTTCCAAAGCCGAGGGGCCACCACAGAAAAGGCCCTGTCTCTCGTTCCCGCCAGCCGCACTTGTGAAGCCGGCGGGATAGAGAGCAGGGACTCCCCAGAAGATTAGGGTCCTGGTGGGCTGATAGGCTGAGATACGTTCGGGTAGATAAGTTGGGCCAGAACCGTTTAGGGCTTTAAAGGCCAACGCCAGCACTTTGAATTGAGCCCGGTAGCAGATCGGCAGCCAGTGGAGCTGGTGCAGCAAGGGAGTTGTATGCTCCCTGCGCCCCGCTCCTGTTAGTATCATGGCTGCCGCCCGTTGGACTAATTGGAGCTTCCGGGCTGTCTTCAAAGGCAACCCCACGTAGAGAGCGTTGCAGTAGTCAAGACGGGATGTAACCAGAGCGTGGACTACCGTAGACTACTGCAACGCGCTCTACACAGGCAGGAAGCCTTCAACATTGGCTAAAAACTTAATTCTTGTAGGACCTATGGAGGATCAATGTGCTTCTGGAAACTCACCTGAGAACTGGAGGTCACCTAGGAGCAGCAGAGCTTCAGGAAGACCTGAATCCAAGATGCGATTCATGCTGCCTGATCCAGGACACCTTGTTTATTACCGTTAGCCGCTTTTGAGTCAGCGGAGGGTTATAAACAATATAAATAAATATGTATAAGTAAACAAATGAATATAAAAAAATGAAGCAGTGTATTTGAAAGAAAAAGGTAAATCGACATATTCTGAAATGTTAGGCGATCCCTCGCTGTCAGAGTAGGATTGTCTTTCAAGATCGGTGTCCTGGTGACTGTGGAGCCCTCTTCTTGACCTGCATGTTCTCCCTCAGTGAGGGCATCGGTTTCCAGGTGGAAGGCGATCCCGGTCGGGGTTGGCTTGCCATGCCTTCCTCTTGGCACGTTTTTCTCTTTCACCCTCCATTCGTGCCTCCTCAAATTCTGCAGCACTGTTGGTCACAGCTGACCTCCATTTAGAGTGCTCAAGGGCCAGGGCTGTCCAGTTCTCAGAGTCTATGCCAGAGTTTTTAAGGTTGGCTTTGAGCCCATCTTTCAATCTCTTTTCCTGCCCACCAACATTCTGTTTTCCGTTCTTGAGTTCGGAGTAGAGCAACTGCTTTGGGAGACGGTGGTCGGTCATCCGGACAACGTGGCCGGTCCAGCTGAGTTGATGGCAGAGGACCATTGCTTCGATGCCGGTGGTCTTTGCTTCTTCCAGCACACTGACGTTTGTCCACTTGTTTTCCCAAGAGATTTGCAGGAATTTTCAGAGGCAACGTTAATGGAAACGCTCCAGTTGTTGCATATGATGTCTGTAGACAGTCCACTTTTCACAGGCATATAGCAGAGTTGGGAGGACAATGACTTTATAAACAAGCACCTTAGTCTCCTGATGGATGTCCCGGTCCTCAAACATTCTTTGCTTCATTCAGAAGAATGCTGCACTTGCAGAGCTCAGGCGGTGTTGTATTTCAGTGTCAGTGTTGACTTTGGCGGAGAGGTAGCTGCCAAGTGAGCGGAAATAGATTTATAAACAAGCCCTTGGTCTCCCTATGGATGTCCCGGTCCTCAAACACTCTCTGCTTCATTTGGAAAAATGCTGCACTCGCAGAGCTCAGGCAGTGTTGTATTTCAGTGTCAGTGTTGACTTTGGTGGAGAGGTGGCTGCCAAGGGAGCGGAAATAGATTTATAAACAAGCCCCTTGGTCTCCCTAGGGATGTCCCAGTCCTCAAACACTCTCTGCTTCATTCAGAAGAATGCTGCACTCGCAGAGCTCAGGCGGTGTTGTATTTCAGTGTCAGTGTTGACTTTGGTGGAGAGGTAGCTGCCAAGTGAGTGGAAATAGATTTATAAACAAGCCCTTGGTCTCCCTATGGATGTCCCAGTCCTCAAACACTCTCTGCTTCATTCGGAAGAATGCTGCACTCGCAGAGCTCAGGCGGTGTTGTATTTCAATGTCAGTGTTGAGTTTGGTGGATTTTTCAGAGGCAACACTGACGGAATCGTTCCGAAATACAACCGTCTTAAAGGCCTCGATGGGTTTGTTAAGCTTGACGCCATTTGACACCCAACTCCAAAGATGGAAAGCGATCGAAATCTTCCCCGTGTTACCAAAACAAAAGCAACTTGTGGAAAAAACTAGACAACAAGCTGAGGAGAAAGGAATCTGTAATTACACTCAAGGTCCCAACAACACTGAATATTTTCTATAATAAATAGGATTTCCACCCTTTTTGTCTCTGTTACAAAATTACAGAATACACTCGGAACACAACTTTGATTCTGATTCCTCTTATTTAGGTGTTTCTTTCCCCCTCTTGCAGGTACGGGCCAACTTGGGCCCTCACTCCAGGTGTTTTGGACTGCGACTCCCACAATTCCTAGCAGACTATCGGGGAAGAGCAGGCCGCTGGGAGTGATGGTTGCTAGGCAACGCCAACAGGGTGCTGGGCCCAGTAATGCCAACCCACACAAACTCTCTCTCCCCCTCCCTCCAAGGGGTTGCTAGGCAACCCAACCCTCGCAAGTCTCTGTCTGTGTTCCTTCTCCAACACAAAACCCTCAAACACAACCCTTTCTTTCACACATTCTCAGCCTCCCGCTTCCCCTCAAAAAGGGGCCCGCCCTGGCCTAGCGAAGCCTACTGCGGGCTTTTCACACATCCTGAACCTCCATTTTTCAACCGGGGCAAACTGGAGCCCCGCTTTCCCTCAAGAATGAGCCAGTCAGGCCTAGTGAGGCCTACTGCAGGCTTTTCACACATTCCAAACTTCCATTGTTCACCTGGGGAAAAGTGGAACCCCAATTTCCCTCAAAAAGGGGATCTGTAAGGCCTGCTGCGGCCTAGTGAGGCCTACTGCGGGTTTTGCACATACTCTGAACCTCCATTGTTGAACTGGGGCAAACTGGAGACCCAATTTCCCTCAAAAAGGAGCCAGTCAGGCCTACTGTGGGTTTCTCACATACTCTGAACCTCCATTGTTGAACTATGGCAAACTGGAGCATCCATTTCCCTCAAAGCAAGAGTCAGTCAGGCCTACTGCGGCCTAGTGAGGCCTACTTTGGAGCCAGTCAGGCCTACTGTCGGTTTCTCACAAACTCTGAACCCTCGTTGTTGAATTGGGGCAAACTGGAGTTTTCATTTTCTCCAAAGCAAGAGCCAGTGAGGCCTACTGCGGCCTAGTGAGGCCTACTGTGGAGCCAGTCAGGCCTACTGTCATTTTCTCACAAACTCCGAACCCCTGTTGTTGAATTGGAGAAAAAAATGGAGCCTCCATTTCCCTCAAAGCAAGGGTCAGTCAGGCCTGCTACGACCTAGTGAGGCCTACTATAGGTTTTGCACACACTCTAAACCTTCATTGTTGAACTGGGGGAAACTGGAGCCTCCATTTCCCTCAAAGCATGAGTCAGTCAGGCCTGCTGCGGCCTAGTGAGGCCTACTGTACGTTTTGCACACACTCCAACCCTCCATTGTTGAACTGGGGCAAACTGGAGACCTAATTTCCTGCAAAAAAGAGCCAGTCAGGCAACTGTGGGTTTGTCACAAACTCTGAACATCCATTATGGCAAACTGGAGCTTCCATTTCCCTCAAAGCAATAGCCAGTCAGGCCTAGTGAGGCCTACTGTGGAGCCAGTCAGGCCTACTGTCGGTTTCTCACAAACTCTGAATCTATGTTGTTGAACTGGGGCAAACTGAAGCCATCAATTTCCCTCAAAGCAAGAGCCAGTCAGGCCTGCTGCGGCCTAGTGAGGCCTACTGCGGGTTTTGCACACACTCTGAACCTCCATTGTTGAACTGAGGCAAACTGAAGACCCAATTTCCCTCAAAGTAGGAGTCAAGTCAGGCCTACTGTCATTTTCTCACAAACTCTCAACCTCCGTTGTTGAACTGGGGCAAACTGGTACCCCACTTTCCCTCAAAGTAAGAGTCAGTCAGGCCAACTGCGGCCTAGTGAGGCCTTCTGCAGCTTTTTCTCACATTCCAAACCAGGCCCCAGACCCACACTCATTCCTATTCCCAGCCATTTCCCAACAATACTTCATTCTGCTCAGCGTTATCTTTCCTGACGCGGTGTTTGCACGACAAACACACACACAAGACCCACCCAACCCCAAAATGGGAATCCTTTGTTTTGTGGCCGACTTATTTCTCAGTGCCCTTCAAATAGATAAAAACTTGTTTCGGCCCTTATTTCTTAATGAGGTAACCACGGGCTCTTTCCACAATGGCGATGCTTTCCTCCATCGTTTCAATCTCTCCGTCTTTCAACCTTTGCTTTTCACACCTCAACATCTTTATAAAATCCTAGTTTATCGGCAGCCATTTCCCAATCTTGTTGCCCACCCATACACCGGCATTTTGTGTCCAAAATATCTTTCTAAAGTGCATCTCAGCAATAATGAGGGGAAGATATATACACACACGCACACACTAAACCAGGCATGGGCAAACTTTGGCCCTCCCTCCAGGTGTTTTGGACTTCAACTCCCACAATTCCTAACAGCCTCAGGCCCTTTCCTTAAGCGGCTGAGGGGGGAAAGGAAAGGGTCTGAGGTTTCGTCATCTTGGAACTGGACCCTTCAGTGAATCACAGGAGTTGAACCAATTCACCTACATGGATCCCTGAATGATGGACAGAGAATGGAAGGGAATGGAGACAGAGCCCCACATCCCCCAGCAAATGCAATGAAAGGCAAGAGCTTCGCTGCAGCAAAGTTCCTCTCCATAAGGTTCTGGGCTCACGGAGAAGAAGACGGGAACCCTTGCACGGCACGCTGGTGACTTAAGAGGTGGCATTTCGGGGTCTTCCTGGACTCCGTGGCACAAAGGCCACTGCCTGGGAGATGCCTGGAAACCGTCAACAGGCTGGGAACAAGGAACTGGGAACAAGGCCGGTGTCTGACCTCTGGAGGTGGCTCAGTCCACACCCTCCTTGTTGCTCCATCTCTGCATATCTGGACAAGTGGCCCTTGGGTGCGTTTCCTATCCAAGCCTAGGTCCAGTCAGCTCAGAACCATGTCCTTGTTGCACTGTTTATTTCTTGGGCTTCTAGGAGGTTCAACACCAGAGGTTCAAGTCGGATGGAACAACGTCAGGCTCCTTCAAATGGTTTCCCAGTGTTTGTTGAAGACCCAAGTTCACAAAGAGATTGTCTTGGGGAAATCTGGAGCCTCCATGCAATCTTCTTTTGGAGAGCTTTTTTGAGACTTCGAACCATTTCCCGGTGTTTGTTGAAGACCCATGCTCATGCAGAGACAGTTTCAGAGATATCTGGAGACTCCATGCAATCATCTTCTTCTTCTAATGGAGAACTTCTTGTTATTTTGGAGGCTTCAGGCCATTTCCCGGCGTTTGTTGAAGTCCCAAGCTCATGTGGAAACAGTTTCAGAGATATCTGTAGACTCCATGCAATCTTCTTCTTCTTCTAATGGAGAACTTCTTGTTATTTTGGAGGCTTCAGGCCATTTCCCAGTGTTTACTGAAGACCCAAACTCATGTGGAAACAGCTTCAGAGATATCTGGAGACTCCATGTAATCCTCTTCTTCTAATGGAGAACTTGTTTTTCTGGAGGCTTCAGGCAGTTTCCCAGTGTTTGTTGACAACCCAAGCTCATGTGGAGACTATATCCAGGATATCTGGAGACTCCATGCAATCCCCCCCTTCTTCTAATGGAGAAGACCCAAGCTCATATGGAGACTGTCCCGGGTATATCTGGAATCTCTATGCAATCTTTTTCTTCTTCTGGAGAGCTTTTTGGAGGCTTTGGACCATTTCACAGTGTATGTTTAAGGCCCAAGCTCATGTGGAAACTGTCCTGAAGACACCTGAAGATGCCATGCAGCCCTCTTCTTCTTCTAATGGAGAACTTGGATTTTTTGGAGGCTTCAGGTCGTTTCCCGGTGTTTGTGACGACACCAAGCTCATGCGGAGGCTGTCCTGAGGATCTCTGGAATCTCCATGCAATGTTTTTCTTCTTCTGGGGAACTTTCTGGAGACTTTGAACCATTTCCTGATGTTCGTTGAAGGCCCATGTCGCATGGAGACTGTCTCGGGGAAATCTGGAACCTCCTTGTGGTCTTCATCTCCTTCTTCTTCTGTTCCTTTTTCTGGTTTGATGCCTTGCACTTGGTGGACCCAACAGCCTCCGGCCACCGCCATTCCAGGACCCTCCCCTTTATAATCCATTTCCGTCCCCTTCCAGAAGAGGGGCGCCCAGTCCGCAGGTTTTCGCCCCAGGCGTGTTTCACGCGCGTGCGATCCCCGCCTTGTCCAGCTCGTCCTCCGAGAGGCTGATGTGCAAACGGGTTTCGTTCCCGCCGCCGGCCCCTGAGGAGAAGGGCCATTTGAAGTCCAAGTTGCTGGCTGAGTCGCGCACCGAGCCCTGATCCAGGTGGGCCAAAAGGCTCTTGGCCAGTGGACCCCGCACCACCGCTCTGCCTCGCTCCTGGCTTGCATGCCCCCGGCTCAACTCGGCACGGCTTCCCGCTGTCCTGGCCTCGGATTCGGCGCACGAGAGGGAGAGGATGGCGACGCTGGTGAGTGTGGAGGTGCCGGGGCTGGTGGTGGTTTCTGCTTCCAGAGACGGGGAGGTGGTTTTGCTTGACCTCCTCCGCAGGGTCGGTGGGGGTGGGTTCAGCTTGGGGATGAATGGCTGGACCCTGGGGGGAGAAGATAGGAGTAAGGGTTAAGGCTAAGGCACTCGGAGCCATAGAATCTAGAGTTGGAAGGGGCCCACAAAGGCCATCCAGTCCAACCTCATTCTGCCCTGCAAGTAAAGTACAATCAAAGTACACTCTGTAGATGGCCACTCAGTCCCTGTTTGGAAGCCTCCAAAGAGGGAGCTTCCACCACACTCCAAGGCAGACAGTTGACATGCTTTCTGCTCCTTCTCCTTGCATGTTTGCAATGGGTAGAAGTTCAGAAGAACTCCGCAAATATCTGTCCTTGCTTAATCTCGTGTTTATCTTGCCTGAGTTTTTAATTTGTTTTTACCCAGTTTTCCTTGTCCATTACATGTAGCTCGCCCATGTTATTGTGATCGTGTTTGTTGTAATTTTATATTGCTATGTTGTCTTTTGTTTTATGAAATTGCTTTATTATTGTTTATTATTTGTGTTTTCAGTTTTGTTTTATTTTATTTGTTGCTTTGGGCTTGGCCTCATGTAAGCCGCACCGAGTCCCCATCGGGGAGATTACTGCAACACACTCTACGTGGGGTTGCCTTTGAAGACTGTTCGGAAACTTCAATTAGTCCAACAGGCGGTGGCCAGATTACTCACCGAAGCGTCATACAGGGAACATACCACCCCCCTGCTACGTCAGCACCACTGGCTGCCGATCCAGTTCCGAGCACAATTCAAAGTGCTGGTTTTGACCTACAAAACCCTATACGGCTCCGGCCCAGCATACCTGTCCGAACACATCTCCTTCTACATCCCGCCTCGGAGTTTAAGATCTTCTGGGGAGGCCCTGCTCTCAGCTCCACCTCTATCACAAGTGAGGTTGGTGGGGGCGAGGAGCAGGGCCTTCTCGGTGGTGGCCCCTCGCCTGTGGAATTCGCTTCCCAAGGAAATTAGGTCATCGACATCCCTCCTCTCTTTTAGAAGGAAACTAAAAACATGGATATGGGACCACGCCTTTGGGTAATTTGGTAGACAGACAAAAGACAATGACGACTAGAACTGGCTAGGATTATGACAATGTGGAATGAACTTACGGATTTCGAGCTTGGTGAACGTTGATCACTAGTTTGGTTTTTATTAGTTGTATTGTATAATTGGATTGTTTTAATTATTTTATAATTGTTGCTGCTATGTATTTTATCTTACTATGTGTATTGCTGGCATCGAATTGTGCCTTTTGTAAGCCGCCCTGAGTCCCCCTTCGGGGGTTGAGTAGGGCGGGGTAGAAATGCTCGAAATAAATAAATAAATAAATGGAGCAGGGTACAAATAAAGATTATTATTATTATTATTATTATTATTATTATTATTATTATTATTATAAGAGATTTGAAAGGGAGTCTGAACAAACTGTCAGCTTCCTCTCTGTGTTTTCTATGGAGAGATGCTTTGTTTCAAAGCATTATCATCATAGACAAAACACCGAAGTTGTGCAGATACCAAAAAAAATTGGTACCCCCCCCCCCTCATTATTTTATATACTACTATATAAAATAATGAATAAGCTTCTGCCTTCAAATTGCATGAAACCCAGTCTGGGCAACTTGTGCTAAACCTGAACTTGGAAATGCCACCTTGGTTGGACAAGAGGCCCTCAGATGCCTCCTGCCAGCTATGGGAGCTACACTCCCTCACAGGCCTATTCCCAAACCCTACCTTTCCTCCTGCACTGGAGGGCTGGGCCCCTTGCCCTTTGGCGGCCCGGTCCCATTGGGCACGCTGCTGCTGTCGGTGGCCTCGGAGCCTTCCACGCTGCGGAGGCCCTCGGGCCCCTCCAGGGCCAGAAGGAGGTGCTCCTCGCTCCCCGTGCCGTTGGGCATCCCCTTGTCCAAGTTGGCCAGGTCCAGGTAGGAGCCACAGGCGTTCCGAAGGGCCACAGGGCTGCCCAGGACGCTGGCCGGCGTTGAGGCGGACGGCAGGCTGATTTCGAGGCTGTAGTGGTTCTTCAGGTTGAGGGAGAGGGACTGGGCCAGGGACAAGTTCTGTAGCGAACGGTCAACTAGGGAGAAAATGGGGAGAGGTGGGGTGGAGAAAGAAAAGGGGTTCAGCTTGGCACTTCACTCAAATGGACACAATGAGATCCCAATCTGATATGATGTGGGAATGCTCAATGAAAAGCAGTGACAAGAAAGACCCGCTCTCCTGCCCCTCTGAAGACCATCCCAAGTGCTCACCTGGATGCCGCAGCTGCACCTTGATCTCAAGCTCTTTGAGCTGCTTGACCAGCAAGGAGACGTGTTGAAGGAGATCGCGGTTGGTCAGAAGCAGCTGCCGGACGCGGGCCTGAGCCTCAATTCGGGCCGTGGTCTCGGCGGACAGCTGGTCTTTCAGCAGCTGCACCTGATGGACAGCAGGCAAAGAGGAGACTTGAGCCAAAGAGGCCAAAAGAAGTCTTGAAAACATCAGGTGAGGTTGATGGAACCCACTTCAGCCCCCGTGGGAGTTGATTCCAATTTAAGGCAATGGGATCTCATCTTAGAGTCTTAGTAGAGCACAAGCTGAAAGTGAGCCAACAGTGTGATGCGGCAACGAAAACAGCCAATGTGATTCTAGGCTGCATCAAATGGAGTCTACTGTCTATGGAGGGATGTCATAGTCTCTCTCTCTTCTGCTTCGGTCAGAATTCACCTGGAATAATCCAGTGTCCAGTTCTGGGCAAAGCAATTCAAGAAAGAGATGGACAAGATGGAAGGGCAAGCCAAAAGGTTAAAGGTTTGGAAACCAATCCCTATAAGGAATGGCTGAGGGAGCTGGGTCTGTTTAGCTTGAGATAAGAGAAGGCTGCGAGGAGACAGACAGGGCCCAGGGTGTATATTACACTTGGCATTACATAGGACAGGTCCAGCAATCAGGCTGACTTCCAAATGTCTCCTTCTCTGGATGTTTCCAAACAGAGGCTGGATGGCCATCCGTTGGAAGGGTTTGGGTTGTGTGTTCCTGCATATGGTGGAAGGGGGTTGGACTGTATGGCCATCTGTCGGAAGGGTTTGGGTTGTGTATTCCTGCATATGGTGGAAGGGGGTTGGACTGTATGGCCATCTGTTGGAAGGGTTTGGGTTGTGTATTCCTGCATATGGTGGAAGGGGGTTGGACTGTATGGCCATCTGTCGGAAGGGTTTGGGTTGTGTATTCCTACGTATGGTGGAAGGGGGTTGGACTGGATGGCCATCCGTTGGAAGGGTTTGGGTTGTGTATTCCTGCATATGGTGGAAGGGGGTTGGACTGGATGGCCTTTGGGTGTCCCTTTCAACTCTGGAAATCGGAGTGCGGTGGAGTCTCTTCTGGAGGTTTATGCTGGGATGGCCTGAATGGGGTCTTCTTGCATGTCAGAAGTATGAGATGACCCTTCCCACTTTAAGATCCCGAGTGTGTTTGGGTCTCCTTCTCTGGAGGTCTTTTAAAAGAGGCAGGAGTTCCTTGTGCTGGAAGTGCTTGAGTCATGGATGGATTGGGCTGGATGACCCTTAGGGTCCCTTCCAGCTCTGGATCTGTGACTGCATGAGTGCAAGGATCCAACATGATGCAGACTTACCTGGGCCACGGCCACCTGGGTCTGCTGCTGCTGTTGGAGGAGCTGGTGCTGGAGGAGCTGGAGGCAGTGCTGCGAGGCCAGTGGGGTGGCCCCCGAGGAGGAGGAGCAGGGGCTGGTGGGGCTGCCCAGGGGCTGTGCGGCCAGAGGGCGGAGGAGGGAGCCACCCTCAGTCTCCTGGGATCCCAAAGGGCAGGGAACACAAGGGAGCGGGTTAGAAATCCACCCCAGAAACTCCCTTTCCCCGTACATTCCCATGTAAACATGCACACATATTTGGGGAAACACCTTATTGGAATTTAGAACCACCACCCTGTAAGGTAGGGCATTGTGGCATTTAACCAGCTCACAAAGAATCCAATGCAGCCTGGATTCAAATTGCAGGAAAGGAGATTCCACCTAAATATTAGGAAGGACTTTTTGACATTAAGAGCTGTTCGACAATGAAATATGCTGCCGGGAAGTGTGGTGGAATCTCCCTCTCCAGAGGTTTTAAAGCAGAGGCTGATGGCCATCTGTGAGGAGTGTTTCAATTGTGTTTTCCTGCATGGCAGAAGGGGGTAGGACTGGATGGCCTCTGGAGGTGCCTTCTGACGATACGTTTCTACAATTCTATAATATTCTGACTAAACCATTCATTTATACAGTTAAGGTTCAAATGTCTTCTGACATCCCCCAAAAAGTTTGGGAACCACTGCCCTATAGGCCTAGCATAATCTATTGGTTGTCACTCGACTGCAACACCCATCACCCCCATCCAACTAAGGGAGGTGGTATCTGGAGTCTAGTGATGCCTAGCAGAATGGGGTCGGACTAGATGGCCCTTGGAGGTCTCTTCCAACTCTAGGATTCTGTGATATCCCAACTCTCTCCTGCTATGGGACCCAAAACAGCCAAGGCAGGCAAAGGCACTCCTCTTACCAGGCTGCTCCGGTCCTTCAGGTTTGGACCCGGCAGAGAGACCCCCAATTCGGCCACTGCCAACGGTTGCTCAGAAGCCCTCCCGTCCGGCACTCCGGTCCCCTCCAAAATCACAGGAGCTCTTTCTCCATCCATCATGGCTGGTCCAGCCAGATGCAGACCTTCAAAGGATAAAAGCAAAAGAGACGTGATGCTCCAACCCAAAAGTGGACTGGCAGAGTCATGTTTTTAAAATCCGCAGGAAAGCCTGAAGAGAAGGGGGCTAATCTATTTTCCTTAGGGAAGGTATTCCAGAGCAGGGGAGCCACCACCGAGAAGGCCTCTCTCTCACTCTCTCTCTCTTCCCCACCAACCATGCTTGAGACGGTGGTGGGACCGAAAGAAGGGCCTCCCCAGCAGATCTTAATGCCTGCGCTGGTTTGTAGAAGGAGATGTGGTTTTGAAGATAGGTTGGACCCCGCACGCTCTCTTCGTTCATCCGGAGACACCCTGCTCACGATCCCACCTGTGTTGCAAGTGCGGCTGGTGGGAACGAGGGACAGGGCCTTCTCTGTGGTAGCCTCCCAACTCTGGAACTCCCTCCCCAAGGACATCAGACAAGCCCCTACGTTGGCAGTCTTTAGGAAGAGCTTGAATACCTGGCTATTCCGGTGTGCCTTTCCAGAATAGGAAAACCCCAGCAACACGTCCCAAAAACACTTTATTAGAGATTAAGATTGTCTGCACATTGCACCTATCCAAAAATCCTTATCTATCACTCAGCATACTCAGCACCCATTACATTTGCCCGGCCTAGTTTTTATTGTATCATGGTGTGTTGTTTTTACTGTTCACTGTTATTGCTTTAATGTTTTTGATTTGCTTTTGGTTTATATGTAATTGTTATATTGTTGTTTTATTGTGGCCTTGGCCTTTGTAAGCCGCATCGAGTCCTTCGGGAGATGCTAGCGGGGTACAAATAAAGATAATAATAATAATAATAATAATAATAATAATAATAATAATATAGAGCTTTATAGGTAATCACCTGCCCTTTGAATTGGGCCCGGAAACTTATCAGGAGCCAGTGGAGCTGCTTTAAAAGGGGGGGGTGGTATCCTCCCTAAAACCCCCTCCAGTTAATAATCTGGCTGCTGCTCTTTGTACTTGCTGTACGGCTGGCGGGGACGAGAGATAGGGCCTTCTTGGTGGTGGCCCCGCGGCTGTGGAACGCCCTTCCCACGGACATTAGACTAGCTCCATCATTAATGGTATTCCGCAAAAAAGTGAAAACCTGGCTGTTTGAGCAGGCGTTCAAATAGTCAGTGCAATGAATGTAATGAACGTAGGAATGGAACAATGGATGACGGATCTGGATCATGTTTTTAGTGATGAGACGCTAGCGAATGGCTATTGGTGTTAACTGTATATTGCTGTTAATTGTATACTTTTCTATAATGCTTTATGATGTTAACTGTTTTTTATACCGTGTTATGGTAGCATTGAATTTTTGCTGTTCTTGTTGTTAACCGCTGTGAGTCGCCTAAGGGCTGAGAACAGCGGTATACAAATAAAGTAAATAAATAAATAAAAATAAATAAATTTCCGAATCGTCTTCAAAGGCAGCCCCATGTAACTCAGGGACTGTACTTTTTTAAAAAAGAACAGCCATGACTTGTTTTAGCATGTTATAAAGACAACAGAAGTGACCACAAAAGGCAAATCCTTGCAATCGCAACCCCAGTTTCCTCACCTTCTAGCTGTGGCTCCTCGGCCGAATTGTTGCTGGCCCCGTCGGCCTGGCCATCGGCGTTCTGCAGGGCGTGCTGGAGGCTGAGTTTGTGGCAGACCTCGAAGGCCTGGCCCACCGTCCGCACCACGCGCATGGCCTGGGTCTGGAAAGGAGAAGCGCAATTTCAGGAGACAGGGAGGAGAGGGGCCGGGAAAGGGGCCACCCAAAGAATGGTCAAGTTGGAAGGCACCCCAAAGGTCATCCAGTCCAACCCCCTTCTGCTAGGCAGGTAGATGGTGTCTACCAACTTCCAACCTCTGTTCCAAAACTCCTGGAAATGGAAACTTCATCACACAAATTCCACTGTTGATCAACTCTTATCATCAGGAAACCCTTCCTAATGTTAACTATAATCACTTTTCCTGCAATTTGAACCCATCGCTCAATTGTGTCCTCGACTCTGGAGAAGCAGAAAACAAGCTTTTCCACTTCTCAATGGGACATCCATAATCATGATTATCATGTCTCCTTCAGCCTGCTTTTCTCCAAGCTAAACAGTCCTAAAGCTGTTTCTCAAAAGGATTCATGGCTTCTGGATCTTTGACCTCTCCGGTCACCTTTCTCTGGACATATTTCGTCTTGTCCATCTACTTCTTGGGTTGCTTTGTCCAGAACTGGACACAGAGTTATTCCACGTCAACTCTGACCAAAGCGGAACTGAGTGGTACTATGACTTCCCTTGATCTTATTTATTTATTATTTATTTATTTAGAATTTTGTATACCAGTCTTCTCACCTCCGTGGAGGGACTCAGGCCGGTTTCCAACAACAACATCACAAGCAATCGTTTAAAAACATCACATTCCATAATACACTAACACATTAAAATACCAAAAATACAATCATATAATTATAATGGCCAAGTCGTCACAATAAAATCGTTGTTCATCACCATCCATCCATATAGCCACGAGTTATTGACTCACTCGTCAAATGCCAGTTTCCAGAGCCAGGTTTTCACCTGTTTCCTAAAAGTCAGGAGAGAAGGGGCAGTTCTAATCTCCAGTGGGAGAGAGTTCCAGAGCCGAGGGGCCACCACTGAGAAGGCCCTGTCCCTCGTCCCCACCAGGCATGCTTGCGAGGGTGGTGGGACCAAGAGCAGGGCCCCTCCAGACGATCTTAACAATCTTGACACTATCCTCCAATGGATGCTGCCTAGAATCACATTGGCTTTTTAAGCTGCTGCATCACACTCTTAATAATAATAATAATAATAATAATAATAATAATAATACTTTATTTATACCCCACTACCATCTCCCAAGGGACTCGGTGCAGCTTACGTGAGGCCGAGCCCACAATACATCAATACAAGCAATAGCAATTACAATACGAAACAAAATACAAATACTAATACAAAGCAATTAAAATAAATCTCATACACAAAATAGCATAAACATTGAACAGTGACACAAAACACATTTAAAAACTATGGCTGGGCCAAATGTAATTAAGTTAAAAATAATGCTGGGCATGAACAAGATAGAGGAGATGGGGCATTGGGGGAAACGTACAAGCAATCCTAAATCAGTATAAAGTGGTTTTGGAGGACATAATGCTAAGGGTTCATTATTCTGGGAAGGCACACTGGTACAACCACGTCTTCAAGCTCTTCCTAAAGACTGCCAGAGTTGGGGCATGCCTGATGTCCTTAGGGAGTGAGTTCCAGAGTCGAGGGGCCACCACGAGAAGGCCCTCTCTCTCATCCAAGGGAGTTACGGATGGATGGGAATTTCTCAAGAGTGAAATACTCAAGGCGCAATTGCAAACCGTGCCAACAAAAAGAAAAAATAGGACAAGTGCAAAGAAGCCAGAATGGATGTCCAAAGAACTTCTAACTGTGCTAAGACACAAAAGAGACATGCACAAGAAGTGGAAAAAGGGAGAAATCACCAAAGAAGAATTCAAACAAATAGCCAACACCTGTAGGGAAAAGGTCCGCAAGGCTAAAGCAAAAAACGAGCTCAGACTTGCCAGGGACATTAAAAACAATAAAAAGGGCTTCTATTCTTATGTCAATAGAAAAAGGAAAAACAAGGAGGCGATAGGACCTCTTCGAGGAGAAGATGGGGCAATGCTGACAGGGGATAGGGAAAAGGCAGAACTACTTAATGCCTTCTTTGCCTCGGTCTTCTCACAAAAAGAGAGTCTTCAACCTCAGCAAGATGGAGTGGATGAGGGATTGGAGGACATCCAACCCCTAGTTGGGAAAGAAGTCGTCCAGGAATACCTGGCCGCTCTTAATGAGTTCAAGTCCCCAGGGCCAGATCAACTACACCCCAGAGTATTGAAGGAACTAGCGGAAGTCATTTCGGAACCATGGGCAACCATCTTTGAGAGTTCTTGGAGAACGGGAGAAGTTCCAGCAGATTGGAGGAGAGCCAAGACTCCAGAGGACAGGAGCAGAATTCAAAACGATCTTGACAGATTAGAGAGATGGGCCAAAACTAACAAAATGAAGTTCAACAGTGACAAATGCAAGATAATCCACTTTGGCAGAAAAAATGAAATGCAAAGATACAGAATGGGTGACGCCTGGCTCGAGAGCAGTACGTGTGAAAAAGATCTTGGAGTCCTCGTGGACAACAAGTTAAACATGAGCCAACAATGTGATGTGGCGGCAAAAAAGCCAATGGGATTTTGGCCTGCATCAATAGGAGCATAGTGTCTAGATCTAGGAAAGTCATGCTACCCCTCTATTCCGCTTTGGTTAGACCACTCCTGGAATATTGTGTCCAATTCTGGGCACCACAATTCAAGAGAGATATTGACAAGCTGGAATGTGTCCAGAGGAGGGCGACTAAAATGATCAAGGGTCTGGAGAACAAGCCCTATGAGGAGCGGCTTAAGGAGCTGGCATGTTTAGCCTGAAGAAGAGAAGGCTGAGAGGAGATATGATAGCCAGTATAAATATGTGAGAGGAAGCCACAGGGAGGAGGGAGCAAGCTTGTTTTCTGCTTCCTTGGAGACTAGGACGCGGAACAATGGCTTCAAACTACAAGAGAGGAGATTCCATCTGAACATTAGGAAGAACTTCCTGACTGTGAGAGCCGTGCAGCAGTGGAACTCTCTGCCCCGGAGTGTGGTGGAGGCTCCTTCTTTGGAAGCTTTTAAACAGAGGCTGGATGGCCATCTGTCAGGGGTGATTTGAATGCAATATTCCTGCTTCTTGGCAGGGGGTTGGACTGGATGGCCCATGAGGTCTCTTCCAACTCTTTGATTCTATGATTCTATGATCCCCACCAATCGCGTTTGCGATGCAGGTGGGAGCGCAAGTAGGGCCTCTCCAGATGATCGAAGAGATCGTGTGGGTTCGTACACAGAAATGCGGTCACGCAGGTAGGCAGGTCCCATATTCAAGGTGGCTTGTGGTTGACTAAGACTCCCAGATGCCTTTCATATGGACTGTTTTCAAGCCTGGTGTCACCTATCCTATCTAAGTGTAGTACTGTACACCTTTTCCCTGCGCCCCACTCACCTTTTTTTTGGATTTGAAGACGTTGCACCGGAAGGAGTTGTTGGTGCCATCCCTGGCGATGTAGCTGAAGATTTTCAGGTCTTGGGAGTCATGCGAAACGTAGAAAATCCTAAAAAGGAGGAGGGTGGGAAAGAGAAGAGAGGCGCACACCGAAAGTGAAGCATCATATAAACAACTAGCTGTCCCCTGCCACGCGTTGCTGTGGTTTAGTCTGTTGATCTGGAAAATTAAGTAATGAGACATTTTTGGTTTCTAATATATGTAATTTCTTTATGCTTGTGGATAAACGGTACTTCTTGTTGTTTCTTTGTCAGTGTTGATGTGGAGATTGTCTGGTTTGCCCACTCTGGAACATGCAACATATCTTTGTCCTTCTTTAGGGGTCCCTTTCAAATCTTTGATACTATATATGTGTGTGTGTGTGTGAATCATATCTATCTATCATCTATCTATCATCTATCTATCTATCTATCTATCTATCTATCTATCTATCTATCTATCTCTATCTATCTATCTATCTATCTATCTATCTATCTATCTATGGCTGGATGGCTCTTTGTCAGGAGGGCTTTGACTACTTTTTCTTGCCCTGGTGAAGGGAGTTGGACTGGATGGCCTTAAGTATTTTCTGTTGGTCATTGGGGTTCTGTGTGGGAAGTTTGCCCCAATTCTGTCGTTGATGGGGTTCAAAATGCTCTTTGATTGTAGGTGAACTGTGAATCCCAGTAACTACAACTCCCAAATGTCAAGGTCTATTTCCCCCAAACTCCATTTGTGTTCATATTTGGGCGTGTTGAGTGCTTGTGCCAAGTTTGGTCCAGATCCATCATTGTTTGAGTCCACAGTGCTCTCTTGATGTAGGTGAACTACAACTCCAAAAATCAAGGTCAATGCCCACCAAGCTTTTCCAGTATTTCTTTTGGTCATGGGAGTTCTGTGTACCAAGTTTGGTTCAATTCCATCGTTGATGGAGTTCAGAATGCTCTTTGATTGTAGGTGAACTATAAATCCCAGCAACTACAACTCCCAAATGACAAAATCATAATTTTTGGAGTGATGGTCACTCCTTGTGTTGTGAGACGTTTTGTTGCCAAATTTCGTGTGATTTCATTCATTGGTTCTTTTGTTTTTAAGGTACTCATTATGCACAGAGCATTTTTATATATATAGAAGATTTCCTCTATGTGGGGTGGTCTGAAGGACAAGAAACATGGAAACCCTGATCACCCCCTCCTCAGTTCAAATTCTCAGACGCCACCATCTTTGGGAGGTCCCCATCTTTTTGGGCTTTAGAAATGAGAGAGTTTGGGCAGTCTGCTTTATTTTGGGAGGGAATGTATGTGAGGCAAATTACTCAGGAATGAAATGTGAAACGGTGGCACTGATGGGCTTCCTTCCAGGGCAAGTAGCTGGCCACTCAGGGGACTTCTTTGGACCCACTCAAAGGAATGGGAACTTGCTTGCCAACCCCTTTCTAAGTCCCACAGATTGCAATGTTGGGGAGTAACACTGGACGGGGTTAATCCTACAGCTGAGATATTCAGAGTGAGAAACGGGAGGAAGAGGTGGGAAGCATCCAATGGAATGATCTATCTATCTAAAAGTCAGAGTAAGTATGTATGCATGTTTCTTTGTACTACAAGGGCCATTGATAGTTGAAGTAGACCTCTGTGGTGTCACTGGATTGGCTGTTGCTAGGTGAAGTGGCCCTCTGTGCTTTCCTGCATGGCAGAGGGTTGGACTAGAAGGTCCAACTCTATTATTCTATGACTAGCCATCCTCTGCCACGCGTTGCTGTGGCCCTGTCTGGTGATCTCAAAAATAAAGTAATGAGAAAGTGTTGGTTTCTAATATATGCAATGTCTTGATGCTTGTGGATAAATGGTACTTCTTGTTGTTTCTTTGTCAGTGTTGACGTAGAGATTGTCTGGTTTGCCTACTCTGGAACTTGCAGCATATTATTGTCCTTCTTTAGGGGTCCCTTTCAAATCTATGACACTATATATCTCTCTCTGTGTGTGAATCAGATATATCTATATCTATGGCTGGATGTCTCTTTGTCAGGAGGGCTTTGTTTACGTTTTCTTGCCCTGGTGGAGTTGGCACTGGATGGCCTTAAGTATTTTCTAATGGTCATGGGGTTTTGTATGGGAAGTTTAGCCCAATTCTGTCGCTGGTGGGATTCAGAATGCTCTTTGATTGTAGGTGAACTATAAATCCCAGTAACTACAACTCCCAAATGTCAAGGTCTATTTCTGCCAAACTCCATCTGTATTCATATTTGGGCATATGGAATATTCGTGCCAAGTTTGGTCCAGATCCATCATTGTTTGAGTCCACAGTGCTCTCTGGATGTAGGTGAACTACAACTCCCAAACTCAAGGTCAATGGCCACTAAATCCTTCTAGTGTTTCTGTTGGTCATGGGAGTCCTGTGTGCCACGTTTGGTTCAATTCCATCATTGGTGGAGTTCAGAATGCTCTTGGATTGTAGGTGAACGATAAATCCCAACAACTATAACTCCCAAATGACAAAATCATTATTTTTTTTAGTGATGGTCACTGCTTGGGTTATTTATTTATTATTTATTTACAGCTTTTCTATTCCGCCCTTCTCCTCACCCCGCAGGGAACTCAGGGCGGATTACAGTGTACACATATATGGCAAACATTCAATGCCAATTTTTGACATACAAACATATACAGACATACACAGAGGCTATTTAACTTTTTTCTGGCCGCCAGGGGAGCTGTCGCTTTCCTCCTCCATCTGCGACACTGATGAAGCACTTCCGCATTCCCCGCATGCTTCCCTGCTGGAATGCTTTGCTGGAGTCTTCTTTATGGCCTCAGAAATCAGTTAATTTAGCCTTCCCACACTTTAAGGTGGTACCTAATTTTCCTACTTGACAGACGCAACTGTCTTTCGGGTTGCAAAGGTCGACAACAGGCTACACACAATTGGGCTGGCTTCGAACTCATGACCTTTTGGTCAGAGTGATCTTAATGCAGCTGACACTCAGCCAGCTGCGCCACAATCCCGGTGTCTTGTGGCCCAATTTGGTGGCAATTCGTCCAGTGGTTTTTGAGTTATGTTAATCCCACAAACGAACATTACATTTTTATTTATATGGATTCCGTGGTCTCACTGAGAGAGAAAGGTGGCATGTGGATAAGGTGAAAAGGGGAAGGAAGGAGCCACAGAAAGAGCCTGTCCACCATTGCCATGGGGATATTGTGTGGTGGGCCTCCCCAGAGCTGGAGAAGGGAGAAAGCAGGAAGGTAGTGGTTCCAATGACCCCGGGGAGATACATACACTATTGCTGGTATATTTTCCTGTTGCTGTTGTTATGTATCCTCAAGATGACTCTTAAGTTGTGGTGGTCCTAATGTAGGGTTTGCCTGGCAAGATGGACCTTTCAATGGTTGGGCATCATGGCCTCCCTCTGAGGCTGAGAGAGCATGACTTGCTTGAGATGACCCAATGGTTTTCCATGGCTGACCTGGGACTCGCATCCGAGTCCAGCACTGAAACTCCAACATTACAATGGCTGCTTGGAGAAAACGTGTAGCATGTGGACGCCCAAAGCAGCCAGATGCCCCAACATGTCAAGACGTATCGGTTCGGCCATTTTTGCTCAAAGAGCCCAATGATTGCAGCAACTCACCTGTAAACAGGGTCGTGCATCACCAGCATCTTGCCCTCATCCCAAGTCCATTCTTTTCTCTAAAATGTAAAGAAAGCACGTTTAAGAGCAGAAAAGCTGAGAGCAACACCTCATTGGGATTTAACATTCATACCAGGCTTCAGAAGAGTGGACTGATGGTGGCTATGGCTTTGGAGGGTCTCCTTGCTTCCCTAGCCAGAATAACAGGACAACTGAGGTTTAAGAGTGACTGTCCCAGTCCCATCGTATTATACACCAGATAAAACACCTGCTACGAAACAGGAGCTTTTTTGTTCAGTTCCAGGGCCAGAGAAGCAGATGGCGGAAACAGAAGAACGGCCTGCCTCAGGGGAGCGTGCTTGCTCCATCCACGTTCAACATCGACAAAAATGACCAGCCACTGCCAGAAGGGACAGAGAGCTTCATCTATGCTGATGATCGTGCCATCACCTCTCAAGCAGGGAGCTTTGAGATGGTAGAACAGAAGCTTTCTGAAGCTCTAGGTGCTCTTACTGCCTATTACAGGGAAAACCAGCTGATCCCCAACCCATCTAAAACACAGACATGTGCCTTTCATCTCAAGAACAGAGAAGCATCCCGAGCTCTGAGGATTGTCACCTGGGAAGGAATCCCACTGGAGCATTGCAGCACACCCAAATCCCTGGGAGGAGTCACCCTGGACTGTGCTCTGACCTACAAGAAGCACTGCCAAGAAGCATCAAGCAAAAAGTGGGCGCTAGAAACAATATCATACGAAAGCTGACTGGCACAACCTGGGGATCACAACCAGACACAGTGAAGACATCTGCCCTTGCATTATAGTACTCTGCTGCTGAGTACGCATGCCCAGTGTGGAACACATCTCACCACGCTAAACCAGTGGATGTGGCTCTGAATGAGACATGCCGCATTATCACGGGGTGTCTGCACTCTACACAACTGGAGAAATTACACTGCTTAGCTGGTATTGCACCACCTGACATCCGCAGGGAAGGAGCAGCCAATAGTGAAAGGACCAAGGCAGAGACATCTCCAGCTCATCCCTTGTTTGGGTATCAGCCAGCACGTCAGCGACTTAAATCAAGAAATAGTTTTCTAAGATCTACAGAGACACTTGCTGGAACACCTCAGCAAGCAAGAGTCCAAAAGTGGCAGGCTCAATCCCAGAACCTCAATCAATGGCTGATACCAAACAAGAGACTCCCCCCTGACCTCACAGAAAACTGGGTGACTTTGAAGGTGCTGAACAGACTGCGCTCTGGCACCACGAGCCAACCTCAAGAAATGGGGCCACAAAGTGGAATAATCCACGACATGCGAGTGTGGAGAAGAGCAAACCACTGACCACCTGCTGCAATGCAACCTGAGCCCTGCCACATGCACGATGGAGGACCTCCTTGCAGCAACACCAGAGGCACTCCAAGTGGCCAGAGACTGGTCAAAGGACATTTAATCAACTACCAAGCTTGCAAACTCTGTTTTGTCTGTTTGTTAAAAATTTGCTAAAAATGTCATACAATTGTCTGGTTGATACTGACCCGATAAATAAATACACCCGATAGAAATAGGAAACGGAGCTGCATTTTTGCTCTTCTGAGTTCTCCAAAAGATCCCAGGAGTTGTAGTCCAGAGAGCTTGCCGAGACTGTTAGTCTGAATTTGACATTTCGGGCAGGAGGCACGATTATGAAACCAGCTCAGACCTGCAGGTGTAAACCTGACCTGAATCCCGCGCTGTCCGTTGGAGCGTAACGTTCCCTGGGGCAGCTCTTGAGTCAAGGGAGAGGCACTCCTGTCGCCCCGGGAGGCCTTCTTGGAACGTTAATTATATGAGCGTTAATTATGCCAGCACCTGCTTCACCAGGAAGCAACAAGAGAGAGGCTTTCTGTATCCTTGCCATCTCCACCCCATGGAAGCAACCGCCGCGGGGCAACATTCATTGTCTGTACCACTCAGGCGGTTCCTTTTCTCCATGTTTTTTTACAAATCTCAGCAGGTTGGCTGATGACCGTTGCTTTTCGCTGTGACGGGCAGGACGTCCCCATTTTAGGGGCAGCGGAAGCAGTGTCAGCAACTGAGCCCAAGCCAAAAAATGCCCCTCACCAACTTAGGGACAAAGTGGATCATAGAATGCCAGAGTTGGAAGAGACCCAAAGGTCATCCAGTCCAACCCCCTTCTTTCTGTCAGGCATAAAAAGCACAATCAAAGCCCTCCCAACAGATGGCCATCCAAACATCGAAAGGAGGATCCTCCACCGGACTCTGAGGCAGTGAGTTCCACTGTTGAGCAGCTCCTAATGTTCTTCCTGATACTCAGCTGGAATTACCTTTCCTGTCATTTGAACCCACCCCTCCGAGTCTCTCCCAGGACCTTTCTGGCTCACAAACAAAGCAAGGCATGGGATGAAATTGCAGTAAAGCCACTCATATTTTGGACTGGAAAAAGTGGGAGTTTATCCCCTGTTCCTCTCTCACTTTGGCAGGAAAAACAAAATGCAAAGATACAGAATGGGGGATGCCTGGCTCGAGAGCAGTACGTGTGAAAAAGATCTTGGAGTCCTCGTGGACAACAAGTTAAACATGAGCCAACAATGTGATGTGGCGGCAAAAAAAGCCAATGGGATTTTGGCCTGCATCAAGAGGAGCATAGTGTCTAGATCTAGGGAAGTCATGCTCCCCATGCTCTATTCCGCTTTGGTTAGACCACTTTACCTGGAATATTGTGTCCAATTCTGGGCACCACAATTCAAGAGAGATATTGACAAGCTGGAATGTGTCCAGAGGAGGGCGACTAAAATGATCAAGGGTCTGGAGAACAAGCCCTATGAGGAGTGGCTTAAAGAGCTGGGCATGTTTAGCCTGAAGAAGAGAAGGCTGAGAGGAGATATGATAGCCATGTATAAATATGTGAGAGGAAGCCACAGGGAGGAGGAGGGAGCAAGCTTGTTTTCTGCTTCCCTGGAGACTAGGACGCAAGGGAACAATGGCTTCAAACTACAAGAAAGGAGATTCCATCTGAACATGAGGAAGAACTTCCTGACTGTGAGAGCCGTTCAGCAGTGGAACTCTCTACCCTGGAGTGTGGTGGAGGCTCCTTCTTTGGAAGCTTTTAAACAGAGGCTGGATGGCCATCTGTCAGGGGTAATTTGAATGCGGTATTCCTGCTTCTTGGCAGAATGGGGTTGGACTGGATGGCCCATGAGGTCTCTTCCCACTCTTTGATTCTATGATTCTATGATTCCTCCTGGGACAAAAAGGATCTGCTCAATGGACCGGGCCAGCCCCAGCGCCCCAATCTCTCTCAGCTTCCCTTCGGTGGCTATTAGCAAAACACATTCAGACAATGGATTCAAACCAATACGTGCCCCTCAATGCGATTCGTAACAACTCACCTTCTGTTTCTTCCGGAGGATGACTTTCACGCCGTCCACAGAGACGACAAGGTTAACCTTCTTCTTCTTTATGTTCTTGGCCTTGAATTCATACTGAGGGGAAGAAGGAGAGGAGAGGAGGAGGAGGAGTTTAGTGAGCTTGTCCATCAACACCATTTTGCCCTCACCCCAAATCCATCCTTTCTCTCGGACAGGAATAAAACGGTTTCAAGAGGGGAAAGGTGTAAAGCAGATTTCCTCTGCTATTCAAGCTGGCCAACTGCAACATTTACATTTGCTTCAGACAAGGGTTCTTTCTCCTACCCTGGGCATTATTCCACAGGCATCTATACACTCCACTTGTCTCATTTCCAACAGACCTCTGAACAAACTTCTGAGGGTGCCATGAGCCACAGATACAGGCAAAATGTCAGGAAAGAATGCTGCCGGAACACAGCCACACAAGCTGGAAAAACCCACAGCAGCCCAACATTCCATTGGCTCTTCACATTTATACCAGGTTCCGGATGAGTGGACTGATGTTAGCTATTGCTCTGGAGGGGTTTCCTTGCTTCCCTGACTAGGAAATGGGCAGGATGTGTACGTCCGAGAGGCCGACATCCAGCTTCCCAAAAATGCTATTCTGAGATAGATAGATAAGATAGATAGACAGATCCTGCCAAATTACTTAAAGCACACCACAAAACAAAAGAAAATCACAGTGATGTGGCTTTGTCTCCTAATAAATCTCTCTTGTTGGCAAAAATATCCCTGTTACTTTCCCACCTTCCTCCCTCTTTTTTTCTTTTTCTTTCTTTCTTTCTTTCCTTCCTTCCTTCCTCCCTCTTCCCTTATTTTTCTCTCTTCCCTTTTTTTCCTCCTGCATGTTTTCACTTTCCCTTCCTTCCTTCCTTCCTTCCTTCCTTCCTTCCTTCCTTCCTTCCTTCCTTCCTTGTGTTGTGTGTGTCATGCGCTACCTCCACCTCCTCTCTTCTCCCCTTCCTTCCTTCTGTGTGTGCCATGTGTTAGCACCACTTCCTTCCTTCTTCCGTTCCTTCCGTTCCTTCCTTCCTTCCTTCCTTCCTTCCTTCCTTCCTTCCTTCCTTCCATGTGTGCCATGTGTTAGCACCACCTCCTCTCTTCTTCCGTTTCTTCCGTTCCTTCCTTCCACCCTTCCTTCCTTCTGTGTATTGTGTGTGCCATGTCTTAGCGCCACCTTCCTTCCTTCCTTCCTTCCTTCCATCCATCCATCCATCCATCCATTGTGTGTGTCATGTGCTATCTCCACCTCCTCTCTTCCACCCTTCCTTCCTTCCACCCTTCCTTCCTTCTGTGTATTGTGTGTGCCATGTGTTAGTGCCACCTCCTCTATTCTCCCCTTCCATCCATCCATCCATCCATCCATCCATCCTTCCTTCCTTCCTTCCTTCCTTCCTTCCTTCCTTCCTTCCATCCATCCATCCCTTCCCTCCTCTCCCGCTCATACTCAGGTCACCTTTCCTTCCCAGTGACATTACAGAGGGCCACTTCACCTAGCAACAGCCTTTGTAGTCCAAACAGACAGACAGACACACATACTTGGACTTTCAAATAGAAAGATGGATAGATGGATGGATAGATGAATGAATGGTGTTGGATCAGGCAGGACCCCCCCAATGGCAAGTTATAGCTGTTCCTTCCGCCTCGAGAACAACCCCCAAATCCCACCACTGTGCCCTCTTGTGAACTTGGCCTGTGGCTCAGAACACAGGTGTCGCATGCAAACCACCTTCCACCTCCATATATACTTGAAGAACATAATTATAAGGTGGAAAAGAGAGAAGCGGGCAGGCGAGGGTGAAGGAACCCGTCAACCGTGTTGGCAAGTGAAGCAGAAAGGGAACGGCTCACAACCCCCAGAGCACAGTGCGGGGGGGGGGGGGGGGGAGCTCCTTTGGGAGATAACTCGATTGGAATGGAGCGGTTGGAAAGGGCAGGAGGGTGGCATTCCTTGCATTTTGGGACAAGGGACCCCAAGTCACCAAATCTGATCCCCAATGCGTGCTACCCACTTGCCTGTTTGAGAGAACCGTTGTTGTTTTGTGTTATCTTTTTGTGGGTTGAATAATATCCCTTATCCAAAATGATAAGTGTGGTGGAGGCTCCTTCTTTGGAAGCTTTTAAACAGAGGCTGGATGGCCATCTGTCAGGGGTGATTTGAAAGTAATATTCCTGCTTCTTGGCAGAATGGGGTTGGACTGGATGGCCCTTCTGGTTGATCGTAAACCGGACCGGGGTATAGGGTGGCAACCTGTGTTGGATGGGGTTACACTCCCCCTGAAGCCACAGGTCCGCAGTTTGGGAGTCCTCTCGGATTCATCGCTTACGCTTGAGGCTCAGGCGTCGGCGGTGTCTGGGAGGGCTTTCGCACAATTGAGACTCGTGCGCCAACTGCGACCGTACCTCGCGAAGGCTGATCTGGCAGGGGTGGTCCATGCCTTGGTCACCTCTAGATTGGACTACTGTAATGCGCTCTACGTGGGGCTGCCCTTGAAAACGGCTCGGAAATTTCAACTGGTCCAACGGGCAGCGGCCAGGATGTTAACTGGTGCGCCTTACAGAGAGAGGTCAACCCTTCTGTTCAAGGAGCTCCACTGGCTGCCATTTATCTTCCGAGCCCAATTTAAGGTGCAGGTGCTTACCTACAAAGCCCTGAACGGTTTGGGACCATCCTACCCGTGTGACCGCATCTCCGTTTATGAACCCACGTGTTCACTTTGTTCATCCGGAGAGGCCCTTCTCGTGATCCCGCCTACGTCGCAAGCACGTTTGGTGGGGACGTGAGACAGGGCCTTTTCTGTGGTGGCCCCCCGACTCTGGAACACCCTCCCCAAAGATCTTAGACAGGCCCCTACATTGGCAGTCTTTAGAAAGAACTTGAAGACCTGGCTGTTCCGATGTGCCTTCTCAGATTAGGAAATCTCCAATAACAAGTCCCAGAAGCACTTTATTAGAACTAAGATTGCCGTACACTGCACTTACCCTATAATCCTTATATACCACCTGTCACATCAGCACTTTTAACCTTGTACCCATTACTCTGGCCCGGCCCAGTTTTACTTTGTTTTGGTGCATTGTTTATTGTTTGTTGTTTAATATTGCTTTAATTGTTTTTAATTTGCTTTAGGTTTTGTATTGTTATATTGTGTATTGAGGCCTTGGCCTTTGTAAGCCGCATCGAGTCCTTCGGGAGATGCTAGTGGGGTACAAATAAAGATAATAATAATAATAATTATAATAATAATAATAATCCAAACGAATTTTGGATTGCGATTTCAGTTACGAGATGCATGGGATTGTTATTGGTGGCCCAATAACTTGTATTGTATATGTGTTTTATGCTTTTAAATTGAATATTGTTTTTTAACTGTTGTAAACCGCAATGAGTCGCCGATTTAGGCTGAGATATTAGCGGTATACAAGCGCATTAATAAATAAATAAATAAATAAATAATAATGAGGTCTCTTCCAAGTCTTTGATTCTATGATTGAGGCTAGAATTGCTTTGGATTTTGAAATACATCCATAATGAGATCTCTTGGAGATGAGACTCAAGCCTAAACATGTGCTCATTGCAGTTTCCTAGGCACCTTATAAATCCATAACCGGAAGGCACATTTATGTACAGTGTTCTAAATAATTGCATGCCTGAAACCAAGTTTGTGTAGGTTGAGTCATCGGAAAGGAAAAGTGTGACTTCTGAAGCATTCTGCAAGTTGCTTTCCACGTAGAAGGAACTTTTCCAAGCTCTGCTCTTGACCCAGTGCTGTGGTCAGCCTAAGAAAGGAGGGACGTTGAGTGAGCCCCCTCCCAGCAGAGCCCTTGTCGCAGGGACACTGCGGGTGGATGCAGGCAAAGCCCTTCAGAGCTACTAAATAATGCAAGGACCTTTCCCCCGCTCCCATCAATAGCTATTTTGGGCTGCGGCACGCCCCCCAAAGCCTTCCTGCACCAAAACTTCTTCCTCTGCTTCATGCTGTTGCAAAACTCCAAGAAAGAGAGAAGCCTATCAGCCTATGGGATACCCCCCTCCATTCGTTGGGGGCTGCTGGGAATCCATTTCCAGCCATGCTGAGCTGGGAGTTTCCCTCCTCTACCAGCAAAATAACTGGCATTACTACCTGGTGCAAGTGCGGCGGCAAAAAGGCACCGAGAGAGACCCCACAGGGGATGCACCATCCCTCCGCTCTCCTCTATCATTACTGTTATTATTACCATTACTATTGCTGCTGCTGCTAATACTCTGACAAAGCAGGGTGCCGTTGGCCTTTGCGGCAGTAAAGATAAGTCTTTCCCACTCCAGAATTATGTAAAACATATGCAAATCTTGATTTAAATAACTCAAGGAACTGAGCTCGGGTCACGCTGGCAAGGAAACGTTTCCTTACCACGCAGAAGTATCGCCTATATAATATTTTAATATCTTTCTCCCTCTGAAATGCAGAGCAAGGAGAAGAGCTTGGAGGGAGAAGATGTGTAAATATTAGGAAGGATGTCCCATTGCGCTTGCAAAGGCTCAGAGCACACAGCGGAGCAAAAGTCCAAATGGCAGGAGAAGAGAGATCCAAGCATCAGGAGACTTGATTGAATGCAGGCTGCAGAGCTTGTCCGGGCGCCAAGGACAAAGGAGTGGCGCTGGCAACAGCCTCCTCAGCCCTCCTCGCTTGGCTGCCTGCACATTAATGCGCTCCGGTCTCATGCCCTTTGATTGCAGATCGCAGGACCAGCGCCATTCCCTCTGCCGTTCTTCTGTGGGCAAGTCCTGAGTGGACAAGGTCCCACGGCGGGCAGTGTTTCTCCCTAGCCAGGGCAGGCGCATCCACATTGCAAAACACACTCAAACCATACGTTAGGTTTTGCCGCAGGCTGATATAATAATCCCGAGAACGCCCTTGTTGTTATGTTAAGCAGGTGTTGAGAAAGCCTGCCGACATCTAGCACCTGGGAGAAGGGCGTGAGGAGGCTTTTGGGGAGACAGAGGGTGCATCCACAACTTTGGCCCTCCTTCCAGGTGTTTTGGACTTCAACTCCCACAATTCCTAACAGCCTGTGATCTACACTATCAAATCAATGCA